TATAATCTTCCAAATTGTAAATGTAATAATTTTAAAAATAATCATTATAAACACTTTTTGTAATTACTGGAACATATAATATTAAACCAGATATTAAAATCTTAGTTTTAGAACTTAAAATAGTATCATAATGTGGAAGTCTTCTCCAAAAATTAATTTAATTAATATTAGTAATTATGTATTATAAAAGATATGGTGTAAAATTGCCGTTCTAATTTTCTTAACACCAAACTATTAAATATTATTTTGCTAATTTTGATTAGAAATATTTAGTTATTTCAAATCCTAATAAATTGTTATTCTAACATTGTGTAATGTTAAGTACAACATTTGTTAATGTAGATGTAAAATTATATAATTTATCTTCCTTTGTTAATTTACTAGGACCAGGAGTATATACAACAATTTAAGAACTAGAAAATAAAATAAATAAAGTTTATTAATTAATGTATGTGTATCTGAAAGAAATAATTGTATTAGTAGTTTCTAAAGTATTATAACAACTACAATTATGATATGTGATATCTGGATTAAATTAGCTAGGTAACTAAAATATTATAATTATGACTTACAAAAACATCTAAAACATAAAAGTATAATTTTGTTTAAGTATTATTATAAAGAATTGTAAAAAAGTAAGAAACTCTCTCATTTTTTATTGGTCCTTAAAGAATAACAATTTAGAGAATTAATTCATTTTCTTTTTGCATATCTGTAATATTCTGACATCTTTCACGTCCACTTAATGTCTCTATCTTTTAACATATAACAATACTAATATTAATAATTTAATTATTACATTGAATTGTTATATTAGACTGCTATATCATAATATTCAAATTATTTATAATAATCAACTTGTTATAAATATTTATGTAAATCCCTATATCTCACTTCTGTACATTATTATATTTCAATATTAATTGGAAATTACTTTTCAAAACTTTACTAAAAAAATAATAAGATATTTATTTACATATTCCCTTGCATTTATTATACATGTTTTATTGAATATGATTGATTAACTAGTTTCTAATTTTTCTATAGTTTGATTATTATTTTAATAAGTCAATAAGATTTCAACAATGCCAAAAATATTTGAAGTAACAAATATATTTTTATTTACTGCACTTAATACATTAAAAACTGATCTTGGTTAATTATGTTTATCATAAAATTAATTTTATTTAATAACTGCTTTATGATTTTAATAATAGGGATAGAATCTGCTTATATTGTAATTGGGGACATAATTGAAATTTAAAAATGGACCCATTATCTATATAATCTAAATGAAATATTTTACTCCTTCAAATAAATCAATAGAATTAATGATCTCTTAGAATACCAATATATCCTTGCTTATAGGACATTATTCTAAACTATTTTACTCCTTCTATTCAAGCTTATGTACTTGAGCAATCAATTGAAAACTACTATCTTCTAATTTGATAAAACATAATATGATATATCTAGAAAAATTCACAACATTATAATTATATGTGTCTTAGAATTAATCATATACAAAGTATCCACCTGAAATGTTAAATGAAATCTAAATTATAAATAATTTAATTACTATAATTGGTGCTATTTATTGATTGTATGTTTAAAGTAAATTATCTTATCCCAATAAATAGGATACATTCATCTATCTAAATATTAAATAATAATTGTACTTCTCAAATAATGTAATTATATTGAGTTTCTTATCAAAAAAGTTATATAATAATATGAAATTTCCAAAATCTATTTAATTTAAACTTTAAAAAAAACTCTAAAATTAATTGAAACTATTTGTTTAATAATAAACAGTTTTGTATTCAGCATTTAAGTAAAATATTTTCAATATATTTTTGGTTTCTCCAGATGCTTACTTAGAACATTATAAATTTGGTTTAGAATAGAAAGGGGACATTTATTGAACAAATGGTGAATCAGTCATTATCACAGCTAAATATTAACTAGTAATGGACATATCAACTAATAAATAACCAGGTTCAAATATTTGCTTATAACTAATAGTAAAGAAGTTTTCAGATTGATATGATCTTTCCAAATAGATAACAAGAATAGCAATATTAGTTCCAGTTACCAAAACTACTTCATCATTGAGATTTTATACTAATCTAATTTAATTTGGCTAATAAACTATAAAATATCATAATAATTACGCTCAATAAGAGTACTATTGCATTTTATATTATAATGTGATGTATATATTTCCTATACATTACATTTACATATTGTAGGAGATGACTGGAACAAAAATCCAATATTCCAAGTAGAATTATCAAATCCATTTATCAATGAGTTTATAAATATCTATTCAATCATAGTATTCTATTCCATCTTACAAGAATTTAAATCTTAAATATTGGCTTTGAAGGCTTGTAATTCTAAAATTTTATTGTGTCTATTGAATCTTTCATGATAAATAATTAAAAATTCATTTGTGATAGCCTTTTGATTAAATAGACTTGGACAGTATTAAAGATATTCAAATTTTATCTCATTAGCTACATCCAGAATATTTGCATTGATTGTTTTTCTATATTAACATTTTTTAAGAAAATTCTCATTCTCTTCATCCTCATAAGTATAATAATAGTAAGTATTGTATGTAAAATTGATTATAATCAATGTTTATTCATCAAACACTAAATCAAAAATAAGTATGGTAGCATTTTTATTAATATCGCAATCTACTCCAAATTGATTATTCTTTCTAAGTTAAAATATGGAATAGCATGAAATATTTTAAAAATTTTCATCCAAATCAAATAAATCTCTATGTAATTTGTTTTAAACTTAGACTATTTTATCATCTGATTAATTATAAAATAGAAGTTCTATTGCTGTTTAACTGAGGTAGAAACGAGCAGGTTAATATAAGGGTCCCCATTCATCAACTGGACAAAAAGGTGATCTATAATAAATAAATTCTTTTTTTCTTACTCTATAGGTTCCGATGAAGTTTCAATAAAAGGAGTGATTTAAAAGGTCAAATTTTAGTTTGTGGAATTAACATTACTAAAACTAGTGTTTTCTAAGACATCTTTAGAATTGAATAAATCAATTGTGTATGATTCATAATAAGGAGCTATGACAAAAACTGGGGTATGATTATTGTAACTAGCATTCATTCATAACTATTACAAATCAGTCAATATGACTTTGCTTTCATTTCTATTCACACACAAGATGCCTACTATAAAATTTAAGAAAATTAGAATAAGCATATTAAATATTTATTAATAGTGAATAGAAATTGATAGTTATATTAAAGAGTTTCTATCTAAGATAAACACAATTATTATAATATAATAATTAATATTAATCTCTTATCTATTCTATACATATCTCTTATATATTATATAAGTAATTTAAATAATAACATGAATAATTAATTGTATTTTGAATGTTACAATAGTGAACAAAATTTTTATTTATAATATTATGAATATAATATCAAATAAGACAAATCAAAAAAATAAAAAGCCTAATTCAAATATCATAAATGCTGATTCTTTGGATATTACATATATTTGTCCCAGAATTCTTGCTATGTCATTTCCAGGAGATGGGGATTCAACATATATCAATAAGATAGATGATGTAGGGTTAATAAAATTATCATTAGGTTGCACAATATTTGTAATAACGACACCATAATGATTATTAGATATATAATTTAAGTGGGATGCAATATGATCATACTAAATTCAAAGGAAAAATTTATACTTTTGTATTCAATAGTTCTAAATATATTTTAGCCATGGGAAGAGAAATCTACACCTAATTTAGGATATTTGTTTATGTTGTGTAAACATATTGATGATTTTTTATCATGTATTATAAGAATCTATTATAAGCAAAATTATCAAATGTAGTTGCTGTACATTGTATTAATGGAATTGGAAGGAGTGGAACTGCAATATGTTGTTATCTATTATACAGTGGTCGATTTTCTAATGCTGAAGAAGCATTATTTTATTATGACAAATAGAAACATTTAAAGGGAGGTGGAATCACTATGCCTTCATAATTAAGATATGTGTAGTATTTTGAGAAGTTAGCTTTTATCAGTTAATAATTAGAATACTATTCTAAAGAAATATTCATCCACCTATTAAATATTTGACATCTATAGTTATACATGGAATCCCAGACATTTAAGATAAATAATGTAAACCTTTTTTAGAAATTTATACTTATGAAAAATCTTGTAAGACTTTGAAATACACAGATAAATTAGAAGTATTATTAATCTAAATTTAGTATAAAGATTAAAAGAAAGCAAAAGATTTAATGTTGAAAGATATTGAATTAATTAGAATTAATATAGGCAAACCTTTTTTGGCAATTGGAGATATAATGATTAAATTTAATCATAATGGTATTATAAAATACAATAATGAGGCCATTTTGAAGTGGAACCAATGTTTCGAGTTTCCTTTAATACTGCCTTTATAGAAGACAAGTATATAAAATATTCTTATATTATAGTAAATTGAGTTTCAGGAATGAAGATTTAGATCCTTCAAAATTACAAAAAGATAATAGATTTCCTGTTGATTTAAATATTGAGATTCAGTTTAAAGAATTCTGTAAATGCACTAATGAAATATAATTTAATTAAAGGTGTAAAAGTTGTTAAAACTTATCCAAACAACTTTGTCCTGATTGGGAATTAATATAGAATATTTTAAATGACTATACTAAACATAGTATTGAAGAGTCATAGATCTTGTTATTTGGAGATGCTGCATTTGATAATCTCAATTATGTTAAATATCAAACATGTAATAATAATTGTTAAGAAATTTTTAGTTTAAGGAGGACGTGTTCGATCTGATATTATTAAGGATATTGATGATGATTTTTGAATAAATATATATATGGTTATCAGAGATAAGATTGTTTATTAATCAAGGGAATATCATAATTACCCAATAGACATCATTTATATTAAATAAAAATTATATTAAATAATTAATTCAGATTTCAAATTCATTCTTTAAATTCTAAAAATAATCCTTCAATAAAACAAATTTATTAAATTATTTTTGTATGTATTCATCATCTTATATTTATTTACATGATTTTATTTCTAATATTGTTGGAGCAATATTCTACAATTACATCTTTGTTTTTATTATCATATCAGTTGCTTTTGCATCCATTCTTTTATCATAATCATCAGATGATCTTATCTTTTTTATATAATAAAATTATATACTGAAAGTATAGTTTCTAAACGTTAATTGATTGATTTAAGTAAAAGATTTTACTTTACTAAACTTAAAATTTATTTATAAAATTCATTTTCTCTTAATTTTATATTCCATTCAAGAATTTATTATTTAATTTCTTAAAGATCACACTTAAATTATGCAATTTATTCTTAATAAACTTAATTAATTGTAAAATTTTCTATTTAAAATTAATCTGCTTCTTCTAAAATCTAATATAATTATTCATATAATTTTTTGCTTTTTATATATTTCTTTGTTTTTGTATTTGTATTCAATAAATAATGAATATTGAAACTGTATTAAAAATATGCTAAATTTATTATTAATTATTTCCATCTAGAAATTTAATCAATTTTATGTTCAAATATTTAACAGAATAATTAACCTTCTTTTGATTCTTTTGTTTTCTCAATTTATTCTTTTAATTATTCAATTTTCTCATTAAATAACTCTCCAATACTTTCTAAAGTTGGAGGTTTTTTGAAATTTTTAATTAATTATAAATCCTCTTTAAAATAATCAAAACCCTCTTTATTTATAAATTTAAATGCATCTAAATAAATTCGATAAGTTTCAAATGTTTGATTATGTTTTTCTATTATATGAATTTTCTTCTTTACTCTATAATAATAGGGTTCCTAAAATGATAATTATATATACTTAGATTTTCATTCTTAAAAATCTGTAAAAACAATCCTTAATTTTAAAGTAATCATCTACTTTAGTTGATAATATATTAGAATGCTTTTCAAAAAATTAATCAACCTTACAAATATTATCTTCTTTCATTTCATTTATACCAAATTTTAATAAAGCATCTAAATCTTATCCATATTTTCTAATTGTTTAGATTAAGTTCTTATAATCCTTGCTTAATTATAAATATCCAGAAATCATATATTTTTAATCTATAATTTCAGGATTATTCAATTAAAATTTCTTCATTTTTTATTCCATTTTAAGAAATGATTATGACATAGAAGATGTACTAGAAATTGATGAAACGGACCTTTTTCTTTTTAATGCAATTTGATTTTTCTTAATCTGTTATTGATAAGCTATTTTATGATAATCATTATTTTTAGTTTGCTTTCTGGAACTAGTTTATGAATTCTGTCGAATTGTTAAAGTATTATTTCTACTCTAAATATTGTGTAAATTTGTTTCAGATATATTTCTAGTAGGCATTTTAGACTATTAATTTGATGGTATTGGATTAGGAATATATATATCTTAATTAGATGTCTTATTTAGATTTAACAAATCCATCATATCCAAACATTAGTTCATTATTATTATTATAATTATTATGATGATTAAATATTATCAACTTTTGATGATGGTACATAAACAAGTTCATAACTCTCTTATAAGTATTTTTCATCATCATTTTCATCATTATCTTCAACAACTTATTCTACAACAACTTTTTCAACTGGATAATTTCTTCTCATATCCTTTCTTCCTCTATAAAAATTAGCCATCTATTCTTCTTTCTTTCTTCTTCTCTCCATTATTTATTTTTTCTTTTCTTCATCCTTTTAATTAGTTTATCTTTATTCTCTATAAATATTATATAAATTATTATACTTTTTCTTTAAATTAATTTTCTTTTCTGCATCTATAAAATCTTATTTAGATTTCATTAAAAATTATAATTTATATTCTGATAATTCTAAAACAATCTTTTCTAATTACTAATTATTATATATTAATTCAATTACATTTAATGTAAATTTAAGCATTTTTGAATCAATCCCTAATTTCTTAATTAAAGGATCTTATTCTTTCTTAGATATATCTGTATAGATTTCTATTATTCTTTTTCCTATCTTATCCATATCTAAATTTTCACCTTCTGCAAATTCTAATTTATTTTAATCTACTTTATCTTATTTTTTTAATTCCTGTTAATATTATTAATGCATAATATATTGTTTCTCTAATACTTTGAATCTTTATTCATTTTCTTTCTGATGTATTGCTAATGTCTCTCTTAAATGTTAAGCCTCTCTCTTTTTTTATTCAATTTCTTCTTCAGCATCTCTTTAATTTTACATATTTCTTAAATTTCCTTCCTCAATTGCATCCAAAATTTCTATCACTGTATCAGCCATCTTATTTTACTTATATTCAAATTGCAATTACTCCAATTGTTCTTTTGATCTTGTTTCAGATTCCATAACATTAACTCCTGTTAAAAACAAAGTTCTTTTAGAATTAGTAGTAGTTTATGGTAATATAATTTCTTTTTCTAAATCTGAAAATTTAGTTTTATAATGTTACTAAATCATATTATTCAATAATTACTTTGATTTTCTCTAAAAATTATCTATATTTATCTAATTTATCATATTCATCTTAAAGTTTACTTTTCTATAATTTCAATCTATCAATTTAGGCTAATATTCTAGCAACTTCAACTTTAACTTCTTCTTTCCTTCTAACTTCTTTGTCAGCTAAAATTGCAGCATAATCTGCTTGAGATTTAACTTCACTCATAAATCTCTTTACTAATTCACAATCATTTTTAAAATATAATTTTCTAGCTCTTAAAGATTCCTATTCATTTTTTATAAAATCCTCAAGTCTATTTGTTTCTTCTTTTTTTGTTAATATATTTAGATTTGTTAAACAAATCTCTCTTTTCTTTTCAACAAAATCTTAAAGAGTTTCTTTCTTCTCACTCAAAATACTCCTTATTTTATAAGCTTTCTATAAAGAATCTTAATAATTTTTTTCAAGCATCCTAGGATTAAATTGTTTCAAATGACATTAAATTGGATCTGGCTTTGCATTAAAACTTTTAGATTTCAAATCCTAAGAGAATACAAGATCTCTTTCTACTGCCAATTTTTCAGCTTAAGCTAGATAAAATAAATTTACTCTACTCTTCTAATTTTCTCAATAAACCATATCTACTAGCTGATTTACCAATATAAAGTTAAGTTAATCTAGTCTGCTATTTTTAATCATCCTCTTCTTCTATTGCATTCCTATCATATTCTAAAGAATTAGTAAACTTTTTAGGATCCTTCTCAAATTAAAATGGATTATCAATCATATATTATTATAATTACTATATAAAATCATAATTCCTTTTTAGTTTTCTTAAATCTAATCTTACATACTCTCATTCTACTTTAAGTATTTTCATAATTCTAATTGAAACTAATATTTTCTTGAGTATTTCTATTGTCTTAAATCCATCAATTACTTAAAGTATAATTTTCAAGTTTAAAAGGACATTATCATATCAGAATCTATTTTTAATTCCTTCTAAGATGACTGTAATTATTTCATGTATAAGTTGTACTTATTTTGGATTTATAACTTAATTTCTATAGTTTTTTGATAATATTTAATTTATCTTAATATAATTGTACAAACTTTTGACATTAATTATTTCATAATTTTTAGCCTTATTAAATATATAAAAGGATTAATAAAATATCATTATTTAATTTCTTTTATTTTCTTTGTTAATTCAGGTACTACTTTAAATAAGTCATCAACAATTGTATAATCAGTTACACTTACAATTGGAGCTTCTGGATCTATAAAAATTTATTAATTTAAATATACCTTTATTAATAGCTACAATCACTTTGGAATCTTTCATTCCAGCTAAATGCTGAATTGCTCCTGAAATACCTATAGCAATGTATAATTCAGGAGCAACTATTTTCCCTGTTTGTCCAACTTATTAATCATTTGCAGCATACCAGCATCAACTGCAGCTCTTGATGCACCAATAGCTGTATTACCCAAAGTATTTGTTAATTCATCCAATATTTTGAAATTATCTTTACTTCCTAAATCTCTTCCTCCTGAAATAATCTATTATCAATATAAGAAAATACAAATTTAGCAGTAGTTAATTCTTGTTTATCACTTTATACTAATTCATCAGAGATATGTTCAATTAATTATTTAGTATTTTCAATCTTTACTTATAAAATATTTGATACTTTTTCACAAATTTGTTGAATCTAATTATAAAATAATCATATACTTCTTCAAAATTTGTTGGTCTAAAGGAAATGAATTTAACTTTATCATTTGATTTAACTTATGCTATTTCATTTCCTGCATAAACAGGTCTTAGAAATACATCATTATTTATGGCTATAACATCAGTTATTGGTTGAGATGCATATTTAATAAAAATTCTAGGTAAAAGTCTTTTGCTAAAGTAGATGTGCTTGTAACAAAATTAGTAAATCCATGTTAATCAATCTACTATTTAATTAAATTGCTTAACAAATCAACTTATGGTGCTTTAAATGAATCATGTTATGCTACTAGTACTTAATGTACAATATTGTTGAAAATTGAAGATTTAATTTAATCAATCACAGAATTAGCATCATTACTAGTTACTAAAAAGAGATCTATTAATTAAATAGTTTTGCTGCATTTAAGATTTTAAGTGTTGATTTAGATAATTTACCATTTGAATGATCAGCAAAAACAAGAGTTGAAAATCTTTCACAATTTCTTAAATTTTTCATCATCATTTTAATTAAAATTTATTAATTTTATATGTTATAGTTAATTTTTAACTTATATATATTTATATATTGTTTATTTGAGTATTGAATACATTAAGAATTGATCATAATTTTACTATTGAAACATTCTTCCATATAAATTTGATGATACTATTCATTAATAGAATTTATAATAAATTTGATATTATAAATTAAGAGAATAAACCAACTTTATTATTTTAAATAATGAGTAAACATCCAATTCAAAATTATTAAATTTTAAAGGTGATTGGCAAGGTATTTAAAGTTATTAAACATTTTCTAAGGGAGCATTCGCTATAGTTTATTAAGGTTAACATCAAAAAACTAAAGAAATAGTTGCCATTAAATAAATAAGTACTGATATGTAAGAAGGTCCACATAAAAAGAAAATGTTAGAGTTATTTAGTTAAGAAATTGAAATAATGAAATCTATTAAACATTAAAACATAATTGAATTAAAAGAAGTGCAATATACTTCTGATTCAATTAATATGATACTAGAGTATTGTGCTCTTGGTGATTTAGAAAAGTACATCAAAAAGAATTCTGCAAAAAATAGATTAGCTGAAGATGAAGCTAAACCAATTATCCTTTAATTATTGGATGCTATGAAAATGTTACGTTTAAAAAATGTCGTTCATCGAGATCTCAAACTTGCAAATATTCTCATAAATGAATAAATGTAAATAAAATTAGGTGACTTTGGATTTGCTAAATCTGTTACAAATGATTTAATGGAATCATATTGTGGAACACCTATTACTATGGCTCCAGAAATACTTAAGTAATTATTTTATAATAATTTTAAAGGAAAAATGATAATTATGATCATAAATGTGATATTTGGTCTTTAGGTGTCATGATCTATTAAATTATATATGGATAACCACCATTTATTCCAAAAAAAGGAACTGTATAAGATTTGATCAATGAAATTGAAAAATAAATTGTACACATAAATTATATAAATTAGATCCTTTTTCCTTAATAAATTATTGTTTCTTCTGAATGTATAGATTTAATACGTAAAATGCTTGTTGAAGATCCAAAAAAAAGAATATCTTTTGAAGATCTTTTTAGACATCCATGGTGTAATACTGAAGTATTTGATCTTAGAAAATCTGTTCTAAAGACTTATGCACCATAACACTAAGAATTTCTTATTAATTTATCTTTTACAATCTAATAACAAAATAATTAGCTAATCTCGATAATACGATTGATTTAATCAATTGAGAATAAATATTAAGAATTCACTTAAATTTGTATTGATTTTCGAAATGTTTTGGCCAAAGTTTTTTCATCAATTCAATTGAATATTATTTATTCAAATTAAAAGGTTTGCATTAAAATACCAGATAAATTTCATTATTTTAATTATCAATAGGAATTGTTAATATTTTTAGCCAACTTATATGAAACAGCTATTAAATATAATAATAATAATATCCTTGATTTTCTTGATTTGAATATAAAAAATTACTAAATAACCAATTATTTTTCTATTTAATATGAGGAATATACTGTTACGTTATTAGAGGAAATTAAGAATTTAAAATCCTCTGAAGAAATAAACAAAGGAAAATTATTAATATAAATGGAAGATTATAAAGGATAAAATAAATTTCTAAATTCAGATTTAAACACTTTAATTGAACTTATAAGAGACAGATTTAAAAATTAATGAATTATTATAATAGTTAACATTAATCAATTTTCTTACATAAGAACCATTAATTACATTCATTTTTACTTTATATATTATATATTATATACTTCACATCATAAATATAGTTTCCTTTCTTAAATATAATTTTTATATTTATTAAATTCTATTAATAAATATAATTTAATCTATAATTTTACATTTAATATTTGTATTTGATGAACAAATAACATATGAAACAATAAATTACAGCTATTTTACAACATTTAAATTAAAAAAATAAACTTTTCAAATTCATATTTAAATAAATCAAATTCATACTCTTCATAAATAAAATTAATTAAATTTCCTCTTAGATTTTATCAACATGAAATAGGATAGCAGAGTTGTTATATTAAAATTGAATTTTTATATTTAAGGATGATATATATATAATTAGAGAATTATTATATAATATAAATAATGAAGCCAAAGCCTCAAATTGAGACCAATAATGTTTTTGACATCTTGCAAAAGGCTAGTTAAAATCTTAAGACATAAAAATTGGATCTCATTAACTCTGTTAGGAATATGTCAACCAAATCAAATTCAAATAGCAATATTTTTGGGAAAGAATTCTTAAAGCAATAATTTTGCAAAGAGAATCAAAAAAAGAAGAAATAGATGTCAAATTTAGAGTTAGTTGCAGCTATGCAAAAGTATAATTAATTATTGCAATAAAAACGTGATACACTTACCAGAAATTATTCAAAAAGTTAATCACTGTTAAATCAACTAGTTACTAAAGTAACTCCAAACTTAGAACTAAATATGTTTAAACAATCTTCACGATCTCCTATATCTACAGATGTAAGACCTTAAACTTCTGACTTAAAAGCCACTTCTTCTGTATAACACAAAAGATAACAATCAATAGGTTCCAAAGAATAGAATTATAAAAAATTATACAATGCTATGTTACAAAAACCCAAGAAGGCTTAATCACATTAAACCACTCCTCAACATTCTAGATAATAATCATTATAACAATCATAACAATTATCTAATAGAGAATCAAAATATTTTGAAAGCATTAAATTTAATAAGGAAAACAAGGAAAATAGTTAATTTCAATATTATTTGGGTAAAATTAGATAAGTATTTACTCGTCCTTTAAGAGATGATTATTTTAGCTGTATTTATAGGGAACATTTTTTTCAAACTTATTAAGGAATTTATGTTGCATCTTATCTCAGACCAGTTGACCCTAATGATGTAAAGAAAAAAGCTGTTTAATTAAAATAAAAGGAAAAATATAGAAGTATTATTAATTCTTATTTAAGATAAAATATCATTAATTTTTGATTTAGATGAAACTTTGGTACATTGTAATGAATCATTACTTTAAAAATCTGATATTGTATTAAATATACAAGTAGGTCCAAATGAAGTAGTTAAAGCTGGAGTTAATATTCGTCCAGGAGCTATTGAATTATTGGAATCTTTAGTTGATGATTTTGAAATCATAATCTTTACAGCTTCTCATTCATGTTATGCTTAATAGGTCTTAGATTATTTGGATCCTGAAAATAAACTAATTTCTCATCGTCTTTTTAGAGACAACTGTATTATGACAACAGGGGGAATGTATACAAAGGATCTTAGAATTTTTGATAGGCAATTAAGTTAAATTGTTTTGATTGATAATGCTGCTTATAGTTATGCTTGGCAATTAGATAATGGAATACCAATAGTCCCTTTTTATGATAATAAAGATGATCGAGAATTATGGGGTTTATAAACCTATTTATTAGGTATGATTGGTGTGTCTGATGTCAGAGAATATAATAGGTAATAAATAATCATAATATTAATAGAGATAAATTAAAATTAAATTAATTTTTTGATTCCTAAGGACCTGCAAATGTATTTGAAAAACTGTTTTAATAGAAAATTGAAATATGATTTTAGTTATTCTTTAAAAATTCAATTTCATACATCCTTCTTCAGTAGACTGATTTATTGACTTTCACAAACACAAAAGAAACTAAAAATATATTTTATTAAACAATTTGTAAAATTATAATGAAAAAATATACGAGTAATTAATAACTTAGAAGATCAAATGGTCCTTTAGGAAGGTATCGACTCTTTAAGCATAATGAAATAGATAGAGCAAATTTATTTGAAGGTTTACCTTATGTATAATTTGATGCTTTCATAAGAAGAGGTAACAATTATTGAAATTTATTTAGATAGGACTATGTAACATGTTGTAATTAGAGATTTGTTAAAAATAATAATGGAGAAATGCAATTAATTAAAGAATTTATTACTTGATAAGTTTCGACTAAAAAAGATCTTTTTATTAATGGATTTAATGGAACAGCCTAAAAAAAAGGGTATGTTTAATTAAAGGTTGGAAGACACAATAGTACTAATTGATTAGATAGGTTCAATCATATTATAGGAATTTAAAAAGAACCCTGAGTAGATTGGACTTAAGTAGTCACCTATTAAACATTTATAAGAATAAAATTCAGAATACATAGATCCTCATTAAGAAGAAAAAATATATGATAAAAATGTAGATTTATTTAATGAAATGTTATAATATTTAAGGGATCGAATAGAATTATATATGTTAATGATGAGGTAAGCTGGTCATAAGATTTTGGATGATTAATAATGTATGAGTTTTTTGAAAGATGTTACAGCTTTACGTTATAATTTATTGCAATTAAGTGAAGATATAAGAGTTTTAGATTCTAATTCTGAAGATAATTTAAAATTAATCAAATTGACACTTTAAAGCTTTGAAACAGTCAGAGATAAAAGAATTGAAAAATTGTCACCTGAAAAAAAAAGTGAAGAATAAAAAATTGAAGATAAGAAATTAGAAGAAAAGAGAAAAAAAATAGATTATATTGAGAAGAATTTGATTGGAAAGACATTATCAAATATGGATGATTAAGCAGAATCTGAAGTTTAAGTATGTTATCAATAATTTATTAAGAGAAAAAACGAGCATAAAGATTGAATGAACTATTATAATAGAAATTCAATTTTAATAAAAGTTCCATTATTACAAGGGAATCAAAATTGATATTGAATTAAGAGTATTAAATGCTTATTTATTAATTAGCAAATTAGAATAAGAAAAGGTATTACTATTAGAAAGTAGTCAAAAGGCTTCTAAAATTAAACATAACTTAGTTGATAATAGAAAAAGGTTAGCATTAGAAAAATTAAAAGATCCTACAAAAGATCCATAATTACGTGGAGCCTTAGAAATTATGGCAAGAGTTCTTAATATTAATATTTAAGATTAATTTTAAGAATGATAGATATTAATTATTAGAAAATTGATTTTTAATATATAATAAGATACAAAAATAAACATAAATTTAAAGAGGATATTTAATAGTTATTCTGGGCTTATGATAGTAATTAATTTAAAATTAAGAAATATATCCAACTAAGTATTTTATATTTATTCTAATTCTTATTAGATTAAAGTTGATAGATATATATATGTCTACTATATCAACTCAGTATAATACAATATAGGTTGATATAATTATCCAACAGTCTATTTTAGCCAGTTTTTAGATTTTTGAAAAACGTTTTTGCATTTCAAATAATTAAGTTAAATAATTTAATGTATTTTAAATAATTATTAAAATCATTTTTGTACTTTTAGCTTCTATTTTGAAATTTGTAAAGCTTCTTCAGATAATTTAAATCCTGGTATTATTGATAGGGCCATAAAAAAATTATTGATTGCCTCCTCATGTCTATCTAATTATTATAAAGCATATCCTTATAATATATATATATTTAATTACCTTTATAATGGTAGGCATATGGATATATTTATCTCTATTCCAGTACTTTATCATACCAAATCAAAGATTCACTAAATTTCCTTAAACCTCTTAAAGACTCACCTAAAATATAAATTTATGATTACTTTTTCCCCAAAGAGCAAAAAAGTGATTTGATTTTATTGAAAGAACCTTTTCATAGATTTCTAGAGAATCCTAAAATAAACCAAGTACTAATAATATATCCCCTAATAATATATTTTATATATCACCTTTTTTAACTAATGCATCTACATTATTTGATGATAACTCCAAGACTTAATCAAATAATTAATTAGCTGTGTGATATTCTTTCAAATCAAACATTGTACAACCTAATGAAAATGTTCACATATACCTTTTTCAAATAACATCTCATAATTTTTAGGATCATCCTAAAGGAGTAAATCATAAATCTCCAAGGCTTCCAAATAGTACCCTAAATTTCTTAATGTATTAGCTTAAAAATAATTGCAACCAATTACCCTTTTTTTGATAAGCCTCTAAATATTTTTCGTTGTATGATATACATTAATTGTATCCTACAATTGCTTCTTAAGTTTTGTTTAACAATCTTAAGATATCACCTATTTAAATAATTCTTATTTTTTACTTCTATAACATATAGAATCGAGATTTTTAGGGTATGCTTTTAATATGATATTATCTAGTTGAGATAGAGCTTCTTAGTATTTGCCTTGAATTATTAAAATAATTGCTATAATAATGATAATAATTTAATTTACTTAATTTAATCCAAGTATAAATTCTATTTGGATTTATTTTTATAGTCCTTTTAAGTGTCTATTCAGCTTCATCAAATTTCAAATTGACAAATAAAATATCTGCTTCTAAACAAAGTAATAGATCATTATTTAGATTAGAATCCTTTATTTGATTCAAAATTTGTAAAGCTTCATCACAATGATTTAAACGAATTAAAATAAATGCTGAAGAAATTATTAATATATTTGTACCATAAACTAATAACTCCTCATTAGTTAAATTTTGATTACTAAAATATTGAAGAGCTTGTTTCAATAATTCCTTAATTTCTATTTCCTTATCTTAAAATAATAATCTAACTAATTTACTTCTTGTCCATTCTAATTTATGGTCTTCCATAATTTCATTTTAAGTTTTGATAAAATATTTCAAAGCCTACTTAATATTTCCCATTTATCCTAAAGTCAACCCTAATAATTATTTTAGCTGAGTTACCTATTTTTAAAAAGGCAACTATTAAATCTTTCTCAAATTTTTTTATTTTTCTATATTGTTCTAAAGCCAATTAAAATTATTAAAGCTTTACTAGGGTATCACCTTATATAGAATAATTTTTTACCATAACCAAATAAAGCAGCAATATTCTTAGAATCTAATTCTAAAATATTAATATAAATCTAGATGGCTTCATCAAACTTATTCAAATCCATTAGTTATTTACCTTAATTTTTATATACCTATAAAACCTTTAATTAATTAGGCTTCTATTTCACTAAGTTTGTTATTTTGAGCTTGCCTGTCATAAGAAAAAGTTTGATTAAATAAACTTTGGTTTTGTAATTCATTATCTAAATAAATGTGTATCAATATACTCTAATTATTATTCGATATTAAAGTAAGAGGTCCATTTTATTAAGCTATTGTTTAAGAGTTTAAATTTGAGGAAAATATTTGAAACATTTGAATAAAATATTAAGTTAGTCATTCTTAAATATGGAATTATAAAAAAATCATTTTTCTGTGATATTTCTGAAATGACTTTTTTTATAAGAATATTTAAAATTGGTATTAATATTTATATATTCATAATCAATAAGATAAGACTTTAAAGAGCTAATTAGGTATAATATAAAGATAACAATAGCTTTGATCTTTAACAAAAATTAAATCATCTTTTTCTTAGTTTTAGTTTAATTAATGATATCAGTAAAAAATATCTTTTTTAAATAGGGTTCTGTAATATAGTTTTGATTTTTTTTGTTTTTGAGTTTATATGCAAACAATGAAAAATCTTTAAAAAAATAAAGTAATTAATGAATTAAAATGAATAAAGTATGTAGTTGAATGGTAAATAAAGAAAAATATGATAAATATTTATAAATATATATATTTAATATAGTAAATATCTTGGATGATTGAATTTTATTTTTTTTATTTAATAAATAAATGTCTTCCTACACAAGTAGATATAGACCATCAACACTTGGNTTAAAATAAATGCTGAAGAAATTATTAATATATTTGTACCATAAACTAATAACTCCTCATTAGTTAAATTTTGATTACTAAAATATTGAAGAGCTTGTTTCAATAATTCCTTAATTTCTATTTCCTTATCTTAAAATAATAATCTAACTAATTTACTTCTTGTCCATTCTAATTTATGGTCTTCCATAATTTCATTTTAAGTTTTGATAAAATATTTCAAAGCCTACTTAATATTTCCCATTTATCCTAAAGTCAACCCTAATAATTATTTTAGCTGAGTTACCTATTTTTAAAAAGGCAACTATTAAATCTTTCTCAAATTTTTTTATTTTTCTATATTGTTCTAAAGCCAATTAAAATTATTAAAGCTTTACTAGGGTATCACCTTATATAGAATAATTTTTTACCATAACCAAATAAAGCAGCAATATTCTTAGAATCTAATTCTAAAATATTAATATAAATCTAGATGGCTTCATCAAACTTATTCAAATCCATTAGTTATTTACCTTAATTTTTATATACCTATAAAACCTTTAATTAATTAGGCTTCTATTTCACTAAGTTTGTTATTTTGAGCTTGCCTGTCATAAGAAAAAGTTTGATTAAATAAACTTTGGTTTTGTAATTCATTATCTAAATAAATGTGTATCAATATACTCTAATTATTATTCGATATTAAAGTAAGAGGTCCATTTTATTAAGCTATTGTTTAAGAGTTTAAATTTGAGGAAAATATTTGAAACATTTGAATAAAATATTAAGTTAGTCATTCTTAAATATGGAATTATAAAAAAATCATTTTTCTGTGATATTTCTGAAATGACTTTTTTTATAAGAATATTTAAAATTGGTATTAATATTTATATATTCATAATCAATAAGATAAGACTTTAAAGAGCTAATTAGGTATAATATAAAGATAACAATAGCTTTGATCTTTAACAAAAATTAAATCATCTTTTTCTTAGTTTTAGTTTAATTAATGATATCAGTAAAAAATATCTTTTTTAAATAGGGTTCTGTAATATAGTTTTGATTTTTTTTGTTTTTGAGTTTATATGCAAACAATGAAAAATCTTTAAAAAAATAAAGTAATTAATGAATTAAAATGAATAAAGTATGTAGTTGAATGGTAAATAAAGAAAAATATGATAAATATTTATAAATATATATATTTAATATAGTAAATATCTTGGATGATTGAATTTTATTTTTTTTATTTAATAAATAAATGTCTTCCTACACAAGTAGATATAGACCATCAACACTTGGTTCAAGTGGTATAGGTTAGAATCAAGCTGCTACAACATAATCTAGCTATCGAACATAAGTCACAACAACTACAACATCTTCTAATTTATCTGTACCACAAACGACCACTACAAGTACATTTGAGAGATCTGAAGGAAGAAGATCAAGTACAATAAAAGCACCACCAGCTACAGCGTAAATAGTTATTTATATGAAGTGTTCAAATGGCACCACCATCAGGGGAGAGAAAATGGTTAGGAAAATACCCAGAAGTTGTGTGTTTCCTTTTAGCAATGGAGAATGATCGTATAATGAGAGAAAATGATGCTTTAATTAAAAGAATAAAGGAATTAGAAAGTTAAAGTGAAGGTGGAGATGTGAGAGTGAGAGAATTACAAGCAAAATTAGATTAAGCAAATAGAGATATAACGCAATACAAATCTGATATTGATAAACATTTAATAAGAATAAAGTAATTGGAGTCAGAAATTGCTGATTTTAAGTCACGATTAGGATAGGTTGATAATTCACTTGCTTAGAGATTAAAGGATGCTGAACGTAAGATCACAGATTATGAAAGAGATATAAATTAATGGAAGAGTAAATATTAAACAGATAAATCATCATGGGATTCAGAAATGAAAAGATTATAAGATTTATTAACTTAAAGATAGAGAGAATTGGATGATTTAAAAAATAATTCAGGTAGGAATTTAGATGGATTATAAAAATAAATTAGAGATTATGAAGTTAGAATTAGAGATTATGAAAATAAATTTAATACATTATAATCAGAAATAGATAGATTAACTAAATTATTAAATGAAAGAAATGCTGAAAATGATAAGTTAAAGAATGATTTAAAAAATAAGTTACTTGAATGTGATGATTGGAAAAATAAATATAATACTTTGTAATAATAATTTACTACAATGAAATCTCAATATGAAAGTAAAATTGCTGATTTGGGTAATTAATTATAATAAAGGGATCGAGATTTAAATGATTGGAGAAATAAATATTCAACACTTGAGAATAAATACAATAATTTAGGAAATTAATAAAATGGATCAGAATAGAAATTAAATTAATTAACATAATTATCATAATAATAAGTTAGAGAAATTGATAGATTAAATGGATTGTTGAGAGATAAGGATGCTTAAAATAATTCATTAAAGGAAAAGTTGGCAAGAGCAGAATAAGATAATAAAAATTTATTAGATTAAATTAATCAATTAAATCAAATGATTAAATAATTAAATAGAGAAATTGAGAAATTATAAGGAGATTTAAATGGCAGAATTAATGAAATCAATTATTTAAATTAATAGCTACAAAAATGCAATGATAATATTCGTAATCTAGAAGATTAAATTAATAAATTAAATGATGATATAATGAGTAATAGAGATGAAATTATGAGTCTTAAAAGTCAAAATGAATAATTAACAAATAGAATTAATGAATTAAATGAAAAAGCTGGATAATAATAAGGAGATTTACATGCAGCTAATTCAGAAAGAGAAGAAAGAGAACTTACTATTAAATAAATTTAAGAATAATTAGATTAGTTATTAACTGATAAATAGATTATGGAGTAATAATTAAATGATTTAAAAAATGCACTTTAATAAAAGAATGATGATATTAGTAGATTAAATTAATAGAATAAATAAAGATTGTAATAATTAATGGATTTATAAAAGAAATGTACAGAGTTAGAATATACTATTAGTGAATTAAGAGGTGTAGAAATGAAATGCAGATTATTAGAAGACAAAATTAATGAATATCAAAAATTAATTGATGATTTGAAGAGAAGAGTTGCTTAATAAGATTTATAATTATTGTAAGCATAAGCAAATGAGAAGAGATTATAAGATTAAGATATACTCATTTAAAATTAAGCTAAAGAAATTTAAAGATAAAATGATTAAATTACTTCATTATTGAAAGAAAATGATTAATTGTAATAATAAATTTTATAATTGGAAAATGAAATAAATAAATTAAGATCATTAGAGAATTATGTTTCTGATTTAGAGAAATAATTATAAAATGCATAAGATGAATTAAGTAAATTAAAATAATTACTTGACTCAAGAACATAAGATTTAAATGATTGGAAACTAAAATATTAATAATTATAACCTTTAGAAGATCAATATCGAATTTTAGAGGAAAGATATAAATAAGCAGAATAAAGAGTTTAATAACTTTAAAATGATATTGAAAAATTAAACAAAGTTATTTAATAAAATTAAATTGATATTGAAACTCACAAATGGAATTTGAATCAGTAGGAAATGACAATGAAAGTAAAAGATGATGCTTTGGAAGCATTAAGTGAAAGAATGAATAATTTAGTTCATGATTATGAAGAAGAGAGAAAGAAGACTTAGGATTATGAGTAATTATTGGCTTAACACTAATAAACTTTAGACAAATTATCTTAAGCAGAAACATAAATTAGTAACTTAAACAGTGATTTGAATAATGCTATAAAAGATATTGAATAATTATAGAGTGAGAATCATGATATGAGACAAGATTTATAAGAATTAGAAAGATAAATTTAAGAGTTTAAATAAAATGAAGCCAGATACAAAGATATTGAAAATAAATTTAATTAATAATTAAAAGATATTGAAAGATTGACTGAATAATTGAGAGAAAAGACTCATTAATTTGATGAATTAAATTCATAGTTTGGAGCTTTGGATTTATAATTATAACAAGCAAACTAAACTATTGATGAATTAAATAGAAGGTATAAATTTAATTTAATTTATAGAATTGCTGAATTAGAATAGATGAAGAGAGAACATGAAGTTTTGAAGACTTAAACAGATTAATTGGACAATTTAAATAAATAATATTTAGCTGATTTGGATAGATTAAATGCAATTGTAAATTAAAGATAGAAGGAATTAGAAGAATTACGTTAATTGATGTAGAAATTAGAAGAAAGAATAACATATTTAACTCCATTTGAAGAAAAAGTATATATATATATATGAATATTTTTAGTTCTAAGTTTTATCACCAAAATATTAAGAATCATAAGAGATAGTTGAGAGATAGAAAGAAGATATCAATAAATATTAAGAACAATTAAAGACAGTAGATGAGTTAAATAAAAAGTAAGATATTTATAAATATTTAAAGAGTTTAAGATTGTATGATGATTTTAACAATGCAATTTACAGAATGTGAAGGATTGAGAAGTTAATTGGAAGAGAAGGACAATCTAATTGCAAATCTTCAATAATAATAGCATTAATGATGAATAAGAAATAAATATATATAAATAAATATATATAATAATGATATTTTCAAGAGGCTTATTCAAGTTGCCATTAAAACAAGTCTAATATTTTGGTAAAAGAAAAGATTATTATGCAATTTTGGGAATCTAAAAGAATGCTACAGAAGAATAAATTAGAGAAGCTTACACAAAGAAAGCACAAAAGTACATGTTAATACAAACATATTAGACTCTATCCAAATGTTACTACATCTGTTGCTATAAATGATGCATCAGCCCAATAAGAATTTTAAGATGTGGCTGAAGCCTTTGCAATATTATCATAAATACAAAGCAGAAATGCCTATGATCTTTTGAGTAAAGAATAACCAGAGTTATTGTATGGTGCAGAGATGGAAAGATACAAATAATCATTCGAAAGAAATGATGATGGTACCTACAAAAGACCAGGATAAGTGGCATCAGATTATGCTAAAGAAAAGCAAGATTATTTGAAAAAAGAAAGATAAGTTTTTAATGTGGATGATTTTGGCAGATATAAAGGAGGTAAAATATTAATTAATTATCAAAGGTGTCCCAAGACCAAATAAAGGTTCAGTAAGAGGAAATGCTCTAATGGGTGTTGGTTAATATCATAGACCCTTATATCACAATATGAAAAAAAATCCATTTGAAACAGAGCATCGTATTACTTCTGAAGATGCTGAATATTTTAGAGTTTGGTCTACTGAAGAGAGAACATTTAAAGAATGGACATATTTGCATTAAAATGCAGTAGTCGATTACGAATACTTAAAAGTATAAAATTATATTTTTATTAAGTTTAATGATTATAGAGCTTTCTATAGATGGACAAGAAATTTCTTCTTAATATTTTTGGCATTCCCTTACTTTTTCTAATCATTATTTAGAGGTCAATTGAGAGAAATTATAGATGAAATTAATGTAGAGATGGCTGAAGGAATACCTATAGTTGGAAGATAATTTGGAAATGTACAGGTTGTTGTAGGCAAGACAGGAACACTAAAATTGTAAGATGCAAATGGAGGACATCATCATCATCATTGAATTATAAAATAAAAAAGAATAAAATACATAATGAACACAA